AGTTGGGATAGTGCTTCTTTCAAACTCATCTTTGGAATTCGTAGATACGAGGAGGCGGCACAAAAAAGATTTAGAGTCTTTTGAGAAGAGGCAGATTTTAGCATTTTTTTGAATATTGCCGAATAGAATTTCTAATACGTCAGCAATTGGCCCGAATAGGGTCTCATGTTTTTCTTGGGTATTACGTTCAAAAATGCTACAAAAAAATTATAGAGCACATTATACTGCAACAAAAATGCTGAGAAGCTTTTGTTCATGCGGAAAAAGAGAAAAACACAATGTCGTGCATTATCTCCAGAAGAGCACTCTCAACCATTAATCCGTTGCAAGCGTTAGCGACAAAGCTAATCAACGAAATCGTAGATATTGGACACATATTGAAATTCTGTCATCACTTTTTCAAATAGTTCGAGAGCACCTTCACTTTCGACAAACTCTTGGCCCCCCTATAAAATGCACTGAACATTATTCAGCGTTGAAGAGAGATCCAGTAGAAGACCAATACACTAAGTATGATGGAAGTGTAGAAGCATGAAATCGCCACAGAGTCGCATTGTCCCGCATCCGCAATCTGATTCTCGCCGCGGGTAATGACATTTCGCTCGGGTACATCACAAAGATACTCGCATATTCATCGAGACCAGTTCACACATGCCTACTAGTTAGCTAAGGAGGAAAGCTATACACCAATCTAATTCCTCATTCAAAGCACTGGGTTTCCATTGGGATTTGCTCAGACATTAAGGTTTAGGTCGTGCACATGGCACGTTTGTCCTAGGAATTTCTGACAATATGGCAGTGAAACGTGAAGCGACCGTATATTTGCTATTAGCGCCGGTAAGCGGAGGACAAAAAAAAGCTTAATGGGAGATACTGCCGTGATAAAAGCAAGTAATATTTGTAATGACAGCTTTACATTCTTTTGCTTAGCAAATGCATCGCTGAACGACCTGCAAATTTTCTGCACAGGCAAACCACAAATAACTTAATATGGGCTGAAAAGAGTTTTATGGGAGACATCTGTGTATGCCCGCACGGACAATTTTTCTTCAAAACACGTGCAGGATGAATGAAAAGGTTCCGATGCCCGAAGTATCGACAATACTTATGTGTTACGATTTCTGGGAATATGAATGGCAGAATGGAAAGGGGAGCACAGACGCTTGAGGTGAGGACGAGAAAAGCAGCTAAAAATGGTGGGCAAACGATGAGATCGAAACGACCGCCGGGTCAGAGCGGAAGAGGCAAACACTCCAAGAAAAACAAGAGCTCTCGCTCTTCGCACATTTGCACACTTCGAACAACAATTTCGACGTCATATGATCTGTTGCATCCTATCATCTACTCAATAAACGTGCCTGCTCTCCTTTAGGTTAGCTGCCAAAAAGTTGAGATTGATAATTCGTTTCTCTTGAAATATTATGTAATAAAAACAACCGGTGTAGAAACGCAATCAGATCATGAGGCAGCACGCGTCGTAACGACCCTTGCTCGCACAATCTAGCAAGGCATCAAATCCTTCCGGGACCGTGCCCGTGTCTCATTTTTGCCTGCTATTCCCAATGGCGCATGCGGCTACGTAGGCGCACAGAAAGCACAGAATTAAAGGCGAGCACGAGAATCAGAATGAAAATATTCACTGACCGGTGTGATGTCGCGTGGTTGCGTTTGATGGCGGACCCGCATATCCGTGGCGACGACCTTGTTGTGAAACACGCCGTCGCTACCCGTATTTCTGAACATGTAACGTCAGCTAATATTAACGATTTCATCGTACGGCATAAAATGCTAGAGATTCACGCGCAAATAAAGGTATTGCAACGGAGCTCAAATTGGTTACTAAATGTCAGAATTCAAAATGGAATGACTCTTGTATTGGTGAGCAGGAAAACAACGGCTGGCTACATGTTTTCTAGTCGTAGATGAAGCACGAAATTAGGCGCGGGTTAGTTGCATGCGATGGATGCGTGTATGTAGCGGCGTCCCCAATTATACACGCGAGTCAAGTATACATCTAGATGGTGGGAAACGGCAAGAGGCACAAGCTCGATTCGACGACACCAACGCTCCTCGGGCCGCAATTTGACTCCTCGTGCATTGCCCTCGAAAGGATGATCGAGGTTGACTGGGTCTACATTTGGGCTAAACAGGTGTGCATGCTTCTATGTGCGCGGCTGTGTGCGAATATGTTTAAGTGGACGCGATATCATAATTGCAAATGGTAGAGTAGCAATGGTGTGAACCATTTCGCTTCTATTCTACAGACGCCTTAGTTTTATCTGAACAGATACCACCAGTAAAGTAAATAAACAGCGCTATTATTGTGGCGTTTTTGAATTCGTATGAAGAAACGGACCGGTTCTCCTCTTGTTGCGGCATGCCGCCAGCCTTGCTGCGGAAACAGACCGGCCTGCAACGGATAGGTTAGAAATGCCGACGCATAGAACGAGGAGGTGCGAAACGATCTGAGAATAAACATTTAAGAAAAACGACTAAATAAGAACAGTTACTGCAAGATGCGATACAGTTTTATAGCAGATGAAGAACAAGTGTATAGCGGGATATTTAGTACACACATGAAGAAAGCCTGGTAGGTGTGGTCGACTGACTAGGCGCGACCGCTTGAGCGTGAAACACAGCGGGCTGCACGTCGAGCGCATTCTGATTGGGAGAGAAAGCAGAAAGCGAAGAAGAAAATCGAGTCCAAGCACAATCAGGAGCGAAAGTAAGAATCTTCAGGAGAGTACTGCAGCAATTTACGCGAACTCGCTTTGGACCGTAGCTCCGTCTAGCACGCTAGCGTGTATCAATGAAAATGATCGTGGGAGGCCGTTGGCCCACCCAGAAAATCCCAGTGTGTCTCGGGTTTCAGAGGCAAAATATTTGCGAAGTAGAAACTGCATCTGTATCGGCTGCGCCGTATGTCGCCCGATTGGCGGCAGAAGCTGAGCACAACGATGTGGGATCTGTGTCAGATGGTGAATGTCGACAGGATTACCGTGTACTATCTGGACTCTCCCTGATAGGGTAATAAACGCACGCGATGTGGCGTGAAACGACTGTTCGCCATTCCTAAGCCGACAATACGCAAGTGCTGTGGGACCTAGACAAAGCTTGACAGGATACGCAACGTGAATGGTGAGTTTGTACATTGTACTTGCTGTATTTCAGTAGTGTACGTAACGCAGAACTGCAGAAAAAATGAAGGGTATCGATTGGGAAGCACAGCGAAACACTGCGCAGTCAAGGTAAATTCCATTACAGGCACTACACAGTCGCTAATTATCTCCCACTGTGCGATGCGCGGACCGCAGTCGGTCGGTCGGCGATCGGCCTTTCTGGTTAGTCCATCGTAGACAATGAGGTACGAGGAGTTGCAGGAGGAAACTGGGACTTACTGCTGACTGACTGACTCTGTCGCAATCCGCTGGCGAATGAGCTTGCCTTGCTTGTGCTGCTACTATACTAACAAGTCATGCGAGCAATAGGAAAAGCGCGGTCGTAATAGAGCGGCGGTGTTATTCACACTTATGCACGACGCCATTAGGAAAATTGGCTACGCGCGTGAGTGCAACAGTAATACTCGCCTTTCAAAGCCACATTACGGTCATACGCGCAAGAAGACGTGCACGGATCAGTAGGCGCACCATATACTATGCCGGCGATCTTCACCTGATTCATTGCCTCAGCTTCAACTCGGCTCTTCAAAGCAAGAGGAATAAAGTAAACTCCCTGACATGCTTGCGGCCACTTGCATTGTCCCTTTCAGAGTAATTGCTCACATCTGCGCTATTTGAGGAGATTTGTTCTGAAGCTGGTAGGATAGGAAGGCTCCCCCACGAGGGCATAAATGCAACTCACAATAGTACTTAAATCGAACAGAGACTAGAGACAGTGGCGAGCTGGACACTGAGGAGAACGGGTGTGGAACGGGAAGCCAAGGGGTAGGGAGATGCATTTCCAATGGGTGTAGAGTTTCGGGGCGCTCCGCGTATGAAGACAAACACGCATGACACCAATACAGTGTTGACATGCGGCATTCTCTCCGAGCCGACGCTTTCACGCGACG